TTGTTAGTCTCTAAGGTGCCACAAGTCCTCCTGTTCTTCTTTTAGTGTTGTTCTTGTTGAGTTATAAGTGAAGGCAGTTCAAATCATGCAGAAGTTGTCATCCACCTGAGAGTTTTTAGAAGAAGGGCCAGGGCAAGCTAATAACAGATAATATGCAGCTCAAGAGTGGAAATGGTGTAGGAAAGGAAGGTTTGTTTGTTTATTCTACAAACCAGTACTCAAACTAAGTTTAAAGCAACTGTCAGGCTGGGCAGGGGGGGGGTTCCTTGAGTTATTCAGTCTGGGAAATGTTTACATCTGTAGTTTAGTTTTCACCCTTTATGCTCTTTACTGCCTACATTTGCCCCCAGCTTGGGCAACAAAATAGACCGGCTAATTTCACTTTTTCCACAGTGGCTCAGATTCAGGAGGGACTACAGCTGTCAGACAAACCCCAGGGGACCAGAACCACTGCTGTCCAGGGGGCAGGGAAACTATGGTGAGGGTAGTGGGGGGGACAATGAAAACCCCACAGGAAGTAACTGAGGGCAGGACAAGGAGGGGCAATGGGAAGAGGGGTACAGTGCATGAAAGGGGAGGGCACCAGGGAAAGGGCAGGCTGCTTAAGTTGAGAGAAGGGGCACCCAAGAAAGGACAGGGGTTCTGGTTAGGAGGGACTCCAAGGAACGGGGCACTAAGGGTGGGGGAGCACCAGGGAAAGGGTAGGGAGCACAGCTGGTGGGAAGAAGGGGACAGGGCACCGAGGAAGTGAGAGCATCAGGAAAAGGGCATGAGGGAGCAGTGGACAGCACACCAAGGAAGGGGGGTAGCAGGAAAAGGGCAAATGATGCAGTTGGGGGGGACCCAGGGGACTGGGCACCAAGGAGGCACAAGGAAAAGGGCAGGGGCCCCAGTTGGCAGGGAGCAGGGTGCCAAGGAAGGGGGCCAGCAGGAAAAAGGCAGGGACCCCGGTAGGGGGGCACACCAGGAAAAGGCAGGGGACCCCAGGGGACAGGGCGCAGATGAAGAGGGAAGCAGGAAAAAGGGCAAGGGCCCGGTTAGAGGGGGGATCCCAGGGGACAGGGTGCTGAGGAAGGGGGCAGCAGGAAAAGGGCAAGGGCCAGGGGGCACCCCAGGGGACAGGGCACTGAGGAAGGGGGCAGCAGGAAAAGGGCAAGGGCCGGGGGGGGGGCGGGGGGGGAGCGG